CCTCCTCAGGTGTCCTTGCTGCCCAGTCCAGGGGACCTGAATGGCTTGAGAAGTAGCAATCTCTTTCAAAGAGACGGTGCAAACATCACACACAGGCACCTGGGCCTCTGAGTACATTTAATTCCCTGACAGGTCTGCTTTTATCGCCACTGTAACCGTGCATTCTGCGGCACGGGGAAAGAAGAGAAAATGGGCTGTGAGCCCCACATGGAGGCTTGAGATAGAAGATCAGAAAGCTTCCCCAAGAGCTAGCAAAGTTCATTAAATTCCACGCCCCCGCCCCGCCCAGAGGCACTGCTTGCTGCAGGGAGCCCCTCAGGGTATCTGGGCAGCCTCCTAACACCTGCAGTCCCCTCTGGGGAAGGTGGGTGACTAAGGGCAGTGATGGAAGTGGCCAGCAGGGGGCTGGCATTCTCTGTCTAGAAGTGGCCTTGCTCCCCGTCAGCACCTCAGCTCAACAGAGCTGCCGTTTGCTGGTGTAGCCAGTGACGTGCAAAGCATCCTGCCTATAGGATTGGAGGCTTTCTCAGTGCAGTTTTTTTCTACCCACTTTAAACTTCAGGTTCTAAATATCAGGAAAGCCAGGAAATACTGTGTGGAAACAGCAGGCAAAAGTTCTCTGGGCACTGCAGTCAGAGGCATCCGACCAGGATGGAGGCAGAAAGCTGATTCGGGACAGGTTGACCCCTCTGCCCTCTTTCTGGTGGTGGTTTTTCGGTTGTTGTTAACTTATTGAACTGGGAGATATCGGGCATCGGTCACGTGAAGGCCACAGCAGCTCCGGGCTCCAAATAGTCACAGACAGCGTTGAGGATCCTAGTCTGCATGCACTGGGAGCATTTTTATTCTCGAAGAAAAAGAGGCCAGCATAGACCTTATCCTCATCGCCTCCCAACTGTCAGATTACGACGTGAAGAAGAGGGGCTCCAGGCCCTTGTAGGTGGGGAGGAATGGAGACCATGGCTCTCAATGACTGCTTCCTCCGAAACTTGGACTTGGACAGTTTGCTGCCCTGCAACATCTCTAATCACAGTGCGGACTTCTCAGGGACCAATGACTGGTTCCACCCGGGCATCCTCTATGTCATCCCGGTGGTGTATGGCGTGATCATCCTGATAGGTCTGGTTGGCAACATCACCCTCATCAAGATCTTCTGTACGGTCAAGTCCATGCGCAACGTGCCCAACCTGTTCATCTCCAGTCTGGCCTTGGGAGACCTGCTCCTCCTGGTAACGTGTGCCCCTGTGGATGCCAGCAGGTACGTGGCCGACAGATGGCTGTTTGGCCGGATTGGCTGCAAACTGATTCCCTTCATCCAGCTCACCTCGGTGGGGGTGTCTGTCTTCACACTCACTGCTCTCTCGGCAGACAGGTAAGTCCGGGCGAAAAGTTACTGACTCTCTGAAGTGGCGGTGGGGACGGCGGGGTGGGGGGTGCCCCCACGTTGTGACAGACTGTGGGCACAACGGGAAGTTTTACTCCGTTTCAGAGTCCCTTGCCAGGCATGTTTTGTCCCCGGGATCACAGGGCATAGAAGGAAAGAAAAGCAAGTGAATGGCAGGACGAAAGGAGACAAATGAGCCCAAAGTGTAAGATGGAAGTGAATTTTCTGGAGCTCAATCAATTTAGCATGATCCCTTCCTCCCACGGTCTTCCTCCCCGCACAATTCATGGACGGGTGAGCAACGCTGACACATTCCATACGAGTTGAAACCTCAGGCAAAGATTTCTCAAAACCATTCAAAGCTTTGGGGCAACAGGAAAGACCCCTGGCATGTCTGTGTCTCAAGTTCTCCCTCCAGCAGGAGCCCAGCAAGGGCAGGGCAGAAGCCACACTTCTGTGAAATTCGTTTGCTTCACTCGCTGGCACTACTCTTAGCTGATTTTGTTTGGGTCTGTCTGAGATGGAAAGATTTGCATGTTGCTATTTGGAAGTATCTCTGAAATCACATCATGTAGTCCTTGGATTCCCCACTCCCCTGGAGAAAGCTCCATTCAAGGCTGGGTTCTAATTTTAACATCTGTATCAGTGTGTGCCCATATACAATGCTTTAAAGGACTGAGGGGTGCGGAATTGAGTGCAGTGTTTTATTCTGGTAACGAATACATACTGGGGAATGTAAAGTGTCATTGTTTGTGGGACCACATGGCTTAGACAGTCACATTTATTCCCACTTCAAAATTCATATTGTAGTCTTTCAACCTCTATCAAGTGTCCATCGGGTTGAAAGCCCTGACTGGAATTAACCAGCCAGGAAATCGTTGCAGGTCATTCCCACACATTGCCTGTGGGCCGTATCCCTCCCTAGTCATTTCGGCCCTATAGAAACTTGGAACGGGAAGGAAGAGACTCCCAAACACTGCCTAGACGATCTGATCAAATTAAGAACAAATGGGTCCCACGAACCAGAGGCTGGTTCATTTTTTAATCTTCAAACCAAGCTTAGGTTGTGCTGCTGCTATTGCAGACACTTGCAAGTTTGGATACAGAAAGCTCTGGGTTCTCCTCTTGGAGAGGCACGGAACAGTCCCCAGGTCCCTAGTCACGGACAAATAAAGATTGCCTTATCGGGGTTTGTAGGCATGTATTCCTCCTACGGAGCTGCCCCAAGTCCACAGGGGACTTTCAAAGATAGAGAAGTAGCACACAGTTGAGGTTTCTACTCCCCACCCCACCCCAGGGTCTCTTCCTTCACTCCACCTGCTAGTGACTCCAAAACACCCCTGCCCCCTCCCCAGGGTAGGGAGGATGGCAGGTAGTTTGGAGTGTTGAGTCTGGGCTGGCATGAGGGCTGTGTTTGGAGGGCAGTGGCCAAGGGCACTTCAAGATAAGGGTGATTTTCTGGGTGGGCCAAAGAGATTGCAGTTCTCGGCTGGAGTGGGCATGCACTGGAGCAGCTGGTATTAGGGCTGGGAGGGAGGCAACTCTGCTCTGGAGTTTCAGGCACTGGGGATTCCCCATCTCCCAAAAGGGGGAGGGGGCACTCTTCAGAGTGGGGAGGCACCAATGAGTTCCCAGGGAGTTCATGTCTACTGTGTGCCCCTCCTGAGTTCAGAAAGTTCTGCTGGCTCCCCTATAGTGAATGTGTTTTTGTTTTTGTTTTGCTAAGGGTGAGAAAAGCTGGTCAAGTGACTGACAGGCAGGAGTTCTCATCCACTGCCACAAGATTGACGGGGAGTTGCTTGAATAATGGAAGATGGTCCTTTTTTCATTTATCTCATCTTTTAAGAACAATTGAATTCTTATAATGGCCTTTAGAGGTTAGCAAGATATATATATGTATGTATATAGGTGTGTGTGTGTATGTATGAATACATATACATACTCATTGCCTTCAAATTCTGACTCGTAGCGACCCTATAGCACAGAGTAGAACTGCCCCCATAGAGTTTTCCAGGCTGTACCTTTTATGGAAGAAGACAATTGCATCCTTCGTTCTCCTCTGGAGTGACAGGTGGCTTGACCTGCTGATCTTCCAGTTAGCAGTGCATATTTAACCACTACAGCACTAGGACTCCTTGTACATATATGATGGGGCTTCATTTTTCAAGTTCATGGAAAAGTAGAATGAAAAGATAATGGGAACATTTTAATGAACTTGTTGGATCCTCCTCGTCCATGTATAAATAGACATAAGGAAGCCTGGTGGTGCAATGTTGAATCACTTGACTGCTAACCAAAAGGTTGGTAGTTTGAATTCCCCCAGCAGTGCTGAGGGCAAAAGACCTGGCAATCTGTCCCTGTAGATGTGACAGTCTAAACAGGCCTCTGTGGCTGTTCTGCTCTGTCACCTGTGCTCACGAGGATTTGGAATTGATTTCATGGCACACAACATATAAGTAATCCTTAGATTATTTCTTATAAACAAAGCCCAATCTCTAAATAGTAAGCTCTACAGAACAACAGAAACCCCACCCAGGTGGACATACAGAATACCTCCAGCACCCCACCCCCACCTCACCCCCGGAGTTTCTCTTGTGCCCCTGCTCAATTAATACCTCCATCCTCTGATTTCTGTCACAGATTATTTGACTAGGTCTTTAATATCATGTAAATGGAGTCATCATCTAGCAAGTGCTCCTTTGTGTCTACTTTTGGGGGCTTACTTAGATCTGTGATGCTCATCTTTCTTGGTGTACATAGTTATGGTTTATTCCTTTTTGATTGTTGTGTAGTATTCCACCGAGTGACTACGCCTCTGTTTCATGACTTATATTGGTGCATACTTGGTTGTTTCTACTTTCAGGTTGATAATCACCTGCTCTGGACATTCTTAAGCATGCCATTTGTGGGGACACAAGTGCTCCTATCTCTTGTGAGTGGAGTCACTGGGCCATGTTGTTGCTGGGTGCTGTCCAGTCAATTTTGACTCGCGTGACAGTGTAGAAGTGCCCCATATAGTTTTCTTGGCTGTTTCTCTACATTATCCCCATTTTACAGATGAGGATACTTTGCCACCAGTGAGACATCAGGGGGAGCCCTGGTGGGATAGTGGTTATGAGTTGGACTGCTAACCTCAAGGTCAGCAGTTTGAAACCACCAACTGATCCATGGGAGAAACTCCTGTAAAGAGTTACAGTCTTAGAAACCCATGAGGACACTTCTATTTTGTCCTATAGGGTCGCTATGAGGTCAGCTCGATGACAGTGAATTTAGCTTTGTTTGTTGTTGTTGATGTTATTTTCCCACTGAGCAACTGGTTGGTTTGAACTGCAGACCTTGAGATTAGAAGCCCAACGAGTAATCAACTACACCACCAGAGCCCTTTGTAGGATGTGTATAGTTAGTATATAGTGTCAAATAGCATTTGTATCCACCCAGAGATGCCACAGATGAAATATCTGGCAATCGGCTTCTGAAAAAAAAAAAATAACAGCCATTGAAAATAACCTGGAGCATAGTTCTACACTGACACGCAGGGGGTTGCCTCAAGGCCAGTGATCCTGTAAGCATTTTAGTTTTTCCATTTTTTATCCAACAAACGGTATTGCCACTAAAATAAAAAATTTCCCCTTAAGTAAGTGTGTTGTTAAAATCTCTTTTTCCAAGTGCAAGCAAGCCAAAATCAGGATCAAGGCAGGAGTTAAGCAAATTCTTTCTGTCAAGGGTGATCCAGTAATTGTTTAGGCTTGGGGGGGGGCGGCACACGATCTTTCTCGCAACTTTTCATCTGTGCTATTGTGTCCTGACAGCAGCATAGATTGGACAGAAAAGACTATGTGCCCATAATGCTTTATTTACAAACATAAGCAGCTGGCCGACTTTGCTGATCAGGGAAGTTTGTCCTAAAAGCATTTACTGAATTCTACAAAAACAAAATTGTCTCACGGCCTCCCAAAACAGCCCCGGTAAGGCACTGGGAGGACCCAGGCCCTTTTCACTGAGGGGTGGGGGGTCGGGGGGTGGAGCAGAATCTATATGATGGCAGTGGTGGCAGATGGCTTATTCAGAGGCAGGATGGGAAACTCACCTGGGTTTGCCTGGCACCTTCCCAGTTTCCTACTAGAGGTCTGTTGCCTGGGGATGCCTTCAGCCTCAGGTAAAAGGGATTGATTGGTCATCATAGCAGAAGACTCCAAACAGGCTGATCACTGAACTCACTGGGTGAGTGTGTGGGTGTGGGGGGTACTTTCAAATAGACGTCATGGGGCCTATCCAGTGAAGGTTCCCATCCATGCTTGAGAGCTCCCCAGCTGTCTCAGGTAAGCCTAAATTACAGACATCCAACAAGGTGTCTTAAATGACACACTTCAAGGGGTCAACATTTCCACTGGAAAGACTGGAATCATCTGTGTGATCCTTTCCATTTCCTTATCCTTCCATTATATTCAGTTAGAACCACAACTTACAAACTTAATCATCAGGCCACTGTGGGAGAACAGCAAGGTATAAATTAGGTGGGTGCTCTGTGTTTTCCCTACTCTAATAATGTTGCTAGGCTTTTCATCTCTTGGGCAAAACAAAAGGATACCCACCCTGATTGTCTCTCCTCCTCCCTCCCTCCCTCTTTCCCATCTGCCTTCCCTTCCTGTCTTTTTGAGTGCTGCTGAAATTCTGGTGGCTAGTGATTCTGCACTGGGCTGCTAACTGCAAGGTCCTCAGTTTGAAACCATCAGTTACTCTGTGGGAAAAAGAGTCTCAGGAACTCACAGGGGCAGTTCTACCTTGTCCTACAGGGTCACCATCAACTCAATGACAATAAGTTTGGTTGTTGTTGTTTGGGGGGAGAACAACTCACTATAATGCAAATATTATACATTACGGACCTACAGACATGTGTATGACTACTGTTTGATATTTTTCTTTCTTTGTTTTGTCACGTGCCCCAAACTCAAACCAAGCCTACAGCCGTTGGGTTGATTCTGACTCAG